TAACCTTTCGAACGGCATTTGCATGCAAATATAGAATATATATACATACATATATTTATTTATGGAGAAAAGGAAGTACACTCTTAGAGCGTAAACTCCTTTGATAGGATAACTCTCTAACGATCATTCTTATGAATATATTCACTCATCATTACGAGCACTTAACAGCAAGTCATACTTCTGTTAATACAGACAGGAATCATTATATTCTTGGTTCTCAAACTCCCTTGTGCTTAACCTTATAAATATTTATCTCACGCCATCATGATTAATCTTTTGTGGTTATCTATATTAGTTTGCTTTTCTGTTTGATGTTTTTGGATAAAATAAACATTTGGCTTTCATGCTAATGAACTTTTGTTCTTTTTTTTCTGTGTTAAAATGTATCTGCCTTTTAGGGCACATGGCATTAATCTGTGGAGCCTTTGTGTGGGCTGCGAATCAATCAGTGGAGAGCGTTAACATTGTTTTCTTTCATAATTTTGCGAGAATAATGTGCCAAAATCTATTTTATACCGAATTTAAACATTTATCTGAGATATTTTTGGAACAGAACCTTATACGACGAGTCGCACGCCTTGGGCCAGAGAGCATTCATCACAGCATTCGTAGAAATCTAGGCGCAATCTGGCGCAAAACTTTCGATTTGTTTACCCCAACTTGACATAGATCATACTCGTAATAGAGAATAGACATATGCTCGGCAAATGGGTGGGGGGTAGGGGGGATTCTGTGAAAGGTTTTCCCATTTTTCCCAGCAAGGATTGTCCTTCCTCGCTACTACATTACGAGTATATCCATAAAAATATGTACATATATGTATATATTATTGTCGCGCGTTATTTGTCGCCATTTTGGCAAGTGCGTGGGCGGCGTGATGGGCGTGGTAGGCGTGGTGCTGCTATCTCATGCACATTTTGTCACTGTCAACCCGCTATGGCATCACCCACGTCTCTTTCTCTCTCTCCCTCTCTCGGTCTCGCTCTCTCCCATCTGTCATTTTGCATTTAAATTGTTGTTGTCACTGTAATAAAATTCGCAAATCTAGGTCCATATCTACGCATTTGTTATCCTTGAGCTGCATTTGGCGTTGAACACCGAAACAACAGCGCGAAATATTGCACTAAAATTGCAATTTGCTGTTGCTGTTGTCGTTGTTGTTGTTGTGTTATTCAAACAATTCCACGAAATAAGTGCTCGACAAATTTTGGCTTTTGTGATTCATTTTTGGGCCATCAATTTGATAGAGAGGCTACCGCTCAATGTACGCCCAAATGATAGTGAAATCAATGGCATCTCACAGATGTAGAAATAACAGACTACTGCACCATTCTGGGACAGCATTGACAAAAGGGCCTGCTGCACTCGATTGCTGGCTTAAATTTAGAAAATGCTCCAACTAAAAATACGGCTACCGCAACCGTTTACTGTGTCGAGGCTGTTGGCAACTGAATTGCCCGACTCTGCTATATTTAAATGATTTCTCGCATTAAATGCTGGCGGGGGAAACTTTGCTGGCAAACTTGCTTGTGTGGCAGCTAATTTGTTTAATTTAAAGTTTGGTAGAGGGGCAGAGGCAGGGGCAGGGGCACAGGCACGGACATGGGCATGGCCACTCCATCTGTAGGGCTCTCCCGGCCCGCAGCGCTCTCGAGGGCCTTTGTAGCTTTTGTTTGACTTGAGACCCTTTGTTTGGAGCAATCAACAGTAATACAAATACTCACACTCTTTCCCGCTTTTCTCGTTGCAGTTTGTCGGCTGGGAGGAGGTGCCGCGACCGAACACACGCGCCGAGATTGTTCAGGCCATGCGTCGCATAAGGGTGAGTACTTGGGCGGAATCTATCAAGCATACGCCATGTGGGCCGCAAATGAATTTTGGTATCCCGGAATCCGGGAATCGCGAAGCTACACAGCTATTTAGCCCGGATCTTTGTATGTACATTGTATATCCTTCAGGCAATTAAAGAAACTTTTGAACAGGCTTGTAGCGGTTTTAAATTTTCCCTGCCCCCAAAAGCAGGCAACAATTTTCGAAGCGTCACACGCTTTGATTACAGGTACACACACACACACACACACTCACCCCAAAAGAAAAATGCTGGAAAATGGTAAAAGAAAAGAAAAATCCAGACCAGAAAAAAGTGCCATCCTAGTAGCATAAAAAGTAACGAGGCTTTTTCAGCCTTCCCTCTCCTTGCTGGCGGGTCGTGCGTGTCTTGGCTTAAACCGCCTTGGCCTGGCTGTGCCAGAAACATGTGTGTATGTGTGTGTGCAGATGTATATTAGCCCTGTCTGTCAGCCATTGTGCTGATGGGAAGGGAGACGAGGCAGATTTGGCGCTTGTTATTGTCATGTCTTTGCCATTAGCCCAGCCGTCAGACGCAGTCAAATGTTAATTGAAAATTCTGGAATTACGCGGCCCACTTTTGACTCCTACAAGCACTCTATATGTTCTCTATCTCTCTCTCTCTCTTCTCTAACAGTACGAGTGCAAAGTGCAAAATCTGAAAAAGCGAAAGGTCACCATACACATATCGGTAAATGGCGTACGCGTTGTGCTTAAGAAGCGTCGCCGAAAAGTAAGTCAATGTCACACATATTATTCCATCAATAGCTTCTGACGGGGAATTTCTTTTAGAAAAAAAACTGGACTAATGACCCCGAGGAAATCGAGTTGCTCAATCATCCCATATACCGCATATTCTACGTGTCCCACGACAGCAGCGATCTCAAGATATTCAGCTATATAGCGCGCGACGCCAGCACGGATACGTTCAAGTGTTCCGTCTTCAAAAGTCACAAAAAGGTGAGATACGATATGTGTTTTATATACATTATGTTTACCTGATCCAGATCTTATGCAAATACGAGCAGAAATTAGTTTCTGTTTTGGTATTTCTCGGCGGGTTTTACGAGTAAGTATTTGCTGGGGCACACACAGAATTGTTTATGACCGCAATTCGCGTAATGCAGGGGCTACTACTTGTACATGTGACTTACTTGACATTACCCATTCCTCCCCTTCCCTCTCCCTCTCCGTCTCCGTCCCAACAGCACCAACCTTACCCCTGTGGATGGGGGTCTATAAATAGGAACTCTGGTCTTGTGCAAAATGTCTACACATATGCATAATTTTGGCTTGTATCCAGCATTGGAAAACCGAAACGAAAACAACTAGCAAATAAACAAGATACGAGTATATCCCTCGATCTGTACAGGAGAGAGTGCAGTCATTAGATGCGCTATAAAAGCGATCTATTTGATGGAATCTCTAAAGATTGGGCAAGCCTCAAAAAGTGTGGAATAAACAATGCCATTCAAGTGTACGAAATATTTGTATCTATTGGTTAGAGTGGTTAGAAGAAGCTCTTTATCATAATTAAAATTTCTCGTTTATTTTTACAATAAATTAAGCATTTCTGCACCCAATTAATCTCTTTATTCCAACAGTTTATCTCTCCCCCTTACGATCTTTTTCGAACATGTGCTTGTTTATCGTAGGACTTCCGTTTTCAATCGCATAACGATTCTTAATATGTGTGTGTATCAGAATTTAAAAATACGAGTAAGGTTTCCAGCAGAGACACTTTCGCCAGTTGATAGCCATTCGTTTGGGCTCTTTAGTGCCTGTTTGATGGTTCCATGATCATTTTTCATTGTCAATTCGGGCAAGAGTCTCGACCGATTTTTCATTGGCCATTAGAGAACATTGGGGTCTAAACAAACTGAGCAAAAAGTAAGGCGCAACTGTCCATCAGGCAGACCGCCAGGCGGTCGCTTCCATTTCCGTATTGTAGTCAGCGGTCCGCGCGATCCGGGCGATCCACAGATTCTCTCGGATTTTAACGGGGCGACAACGGGCATGTCTGAGGATGGGGATTGCTCTCCATTAAGTTATGGCCGGGATTTGGTCCAATAAATAAATCAGCTTTTACTTTGTAGTCACCCAGGGGGAAATGCATTCGCTTTGATTTCGAACCGAATGCGGTTTTTGATTAATTCTCCGTCAAATGCTAAAATGTTCCAAATTAATAACCATTAATAAGCTGAAGCCGTATTTCTGGGTCCATATTCCGAAATTATTTCTCGCTGGCCTTCAACTTCAATTCGTAGACAATGTCAAGTTGGCATTTCTATTTTTTGTCTTCTAATTAACAAGCAGAAATTCTGGGAACGAATTCCAATCTATCCATCAGAAGACATCAGGCCAGGGCCTGACATGACTGTGTTTGTGGGCCTGTCGAAATGCCTGACAAGTGACACACGAAATTAAGGCCAGGATGGGGATGGGGGCCATAGACATAGACTGTTGGGGGGCTGATGGAGCCACAGCCGGGCGTGGCGGGGGGCAGTATCTTCTACACGCCGCATGCACGTGTAGAAAATTGCGCATACGCCGCGTGCGTCAGCGCAAAGCTCCTCAGCAACGCTGCACCTGAGGCAAGAGGCTCTTCCACCTCTCTCCCAACAGCAACAGCCACAGCAACCGCAACAGCAACACCAAAAACAGGCCAATGGAAATGCAACGCAATTTGGAGAGCCGAAACGTATGTGTGTATTGTCTGTACATACATACATACATAAGCACATAAGCACGACCAGTAGACAATGCGCTGAAAAGTGTATGATTTATGGCTAAGCAAGAGCAAAGGCAGCGGCTTTTCAGAGCCGAGTACTTCCGCGAAACACAAAGCAATGACGTCACAACAGCAGTAGTATCTGCAATCGCACGCATACGCCGCACTTTACCGGCCGCAGTGGGTCCTCCTTTGTTTTTGTTGTTTTTGTGTTTGGTGGTGGAACGGCGGACCAAAACAAACGCAGCGTGAAACTGGCCGAAAGGCAAACCGCAAACGATCGTGTTAACAGCTGAGCAGCCAAAAGCTCGCTGGCCTCTTTGTGGGCCTCTGGCCAAGTGAAAGCTCCCCTCACATTTAGCCGGCTGCAAGGCAATCGATCGATGGCCGCCGATCTCCGCTAACAGACGGTTCTTTGTCCAGTGCGCTCTAGACGGCGCGCCTTTGTAGACGTCGTGCAGGGAGATTGGAAAAGCGTCCGCGAAAAGCCCAATAACTAAAAATTATGCAACGAGTGCGTGTCAGTGAAGAGTGAAGAGTGAAACAAACCCAATCATAGGCGGTGTGTGAATAATAATACGAATGAATTTGCAAACTGTGCCAAAACTAAAACCATATTTCTGCCAACTGCACAAATAAACCGAAAAGTGTCAAGCGAGAGAAAAGCGAAAGAGAAATAAATTCAGGCAATGGCATGTCAAAGTGTTAGGGAAAATATTTCACCAGTCCCATCTATCAACATCGTAGACGAGGCGAGAAATTAAATGTTTCAAAATGTTGTGGAAAAACATTCCCCGTTGCCAGAAAGCAGAAATCAGAAAAGTGTTTTGTCATTGGATTTTGGGGCTGCTGACGCCATTAAATGCCCGTAGCATCAGTTCTGAACAACAGCACTGAACAGCAAGCAGTATTTATATATTTTTAAACAATGGCCAGCACCGCTAGGAATTAACTAATGAGCCACAGGAGCAGGAGCGGAACAGAGCGGTGACTAGAAAATTAATTGCCAGAAAAAAGCCCAAGCACAGGCCTCTCGCAGACACTAATGGGGTTCCATTTTGGATAGAGAGTGAAAACTTTGCCTTAGAGATAGAGGTTTCCCTAATAAGTACAATACGTTCGGTTCGGACTGAGTTTAAGGCCGAATATACATCTTTCGTGGCTCCATGACGCACTTTTTCCTTAATACATTGTTTATGCATATTAGTTGCTCTCATTTAATGAGCCCTGGCCAGCCACAGGTAGTCCAGGAAAAGCGTGGGCTCATCCAAATAAATAGAATTATGAGCACACACAGACGTGTGTGTATCATATTAAGGCTGAAATATTTATGATTTCTTTAGCTTATTTATTTATAAATCGAATTCAGCAAAACAAAGGCAAACTCAAATTTTGACAGACACTACAAATATTTTGATGAACTGCTCGAAAGTTGTGCAATTTATGGCAAATTGTGGAGTGGAAATGCGTCCGGGTATTATTTCCGTTTACCTGTTGCTTGGGCGAAAAGCCACACAGAACTTTTCCTTTTTCCCACAATCTTTTCGACTTTCCCAAAAATGGCTGCCACAATCGGCATTCGTTTTGTTTCGCTTTGTTTTTTGTTTTACTCTCGTTTCCCCGTGGCTCGTTCGTTCAGTTTTCCATTCTACATGCATATTTTTCTTTTTTTTTTTGCATTTCAAGCAAAAATATATCCATTATTTTAATAGCCTGCTCTAAAGTATTTCTGAAATCGAACAACCCGAAATGAGCGAAACGTTCAGGTGTGTTTTTCCCAGCCAGAGTCCATCAACAACCAGAAATATACTCGTACGCTTGTTCTTTGAGTATTTTTGCTTATTCCACTCGTGTTAAGTAAATTGAATTTTTAAGTGCCGCCTCCTGCATGACTAATGAGAACTTCATTAGTAGCCAGCCCCTCTACATGGCGATAGATAGAGACAGATAGAGAGAGAGAGAGAGAGAGGGTGAGAGAGAGCGGAAACCACGTGACAATGTGCAGAATTTATGAGCTGCAGCCACAGGGGAACTGCAGGCTGCTGCAGCTGGAGCTTCGGATGTGGCTTCTGTGGCTGCCACCGACTGCTGCAATGTCCTGACCATCAACGACTTATAGCCGCAGTAAACATTTGCCAGATAGCACGAGTCAGAGATAGAGAGAGTAGAAGGGAACGGAGGAAACAGTAGCAGAAACAGACACAGAAACAGAAACAGAAACAGAACCAGAACCACCAGCTGGAACAGCTTACTCAAAAGATTTTCTGTAAAAATTTTCCCTTATGACAGACATTTGGGGAGGGCAAAAGCAAACAAACTGCCAGATTTGATTGCCATGCAGCGTGAAATGGGAATTAAAATTCAAATAAATACATAAAACAAAAGCTAACAAAGTCATTTTTTAACGCCATAAATTTTCAAGTAGTTTTCCACGAAAACCAAGCAAAAGCGATTTTCTTCGTTCTTCAAGCTGTATGCGTGTATTTATTTAAGTTTTCATTTGCTGTAACGTTCTCTGTAACGATTTCAAATTGCCACACACTTTATATACGCTGTTTTTATAGTTCCTTCGATTTGATTTATGTGAAATTGCACAAGAGACCTATGGGAAATATATTTCTGTGCAAAAGCACGATAGAGAATCAGTTGGCACCTTCTCTAGACGGGTTCTTCTTCGGCACACGTGGCATATGAACTGACAGCGTGATACATCTACAGTATGTCTATGAATCCCCCACAAAGGGAGACGGTTCGACGCCACTTTCGATTCGGAGAAGATTCACCTTGAAAGAACTGTTAGGCACCCGCGAAGTTTGTCTTAAGGAACGTGTTGTAAGCATGTTTCCCTCTATCTCTGTCTCTATTTCACTCAGTCTGCCACTTGCGCAACAAGTGCTGTCGCTGCTTGTCAAAATAATTCAAATTGATGGGTGGTTAATGTCGTTCAGACAAGTGCTCAAAGTCGCCCGCCACTGAAGTAGCCCTTCAGAGTGCTTCAGTTGTGGCCAAATGCTGGCATGGGTGAAATGGGAGAACACAAATTTGCCTGGCCCTAATTGGCAATTGGAAAGGTGTACAACCGTTTGTGGAATGGCTTGAATTACTCATAGTTTTAGGGTGCAAATCTGTGCCCCTCTCTGATAGCGATCCGTTCCGTTCCGTTTGCGTTCTGCCAGTCAAAATGCGGGTCTGATTCATAATCATCGGAGAAATGCACATCATTCGACTGCTGGTGCCTGATGCCTGCATGAGTCTTGTCCGATGGTTAGTTTAAACAAACCCAGAGATTGACAGTTTTTCTTTTCGCTCGCTCGAATGCAGGCAGCAGAAATAATCAACGAAAAATAACCCAGAAATACTCATATCGTATCTTCCATGGCTGTATAGGCAGCATGAAAAGTTGCAAATAATTCAATAATACACAAAAAATTGAACGCGCAAAAGAACTCAAAATAAGAACAGAAACAATAACCGAAACAGAGAAGCAGAAGCAGAAGCAGAAGCATAAACAATTTCGCCACCTAGAAGGTGCGAGAAAAATGGCGCATCGGCAATGTGTGAACAACCTGGACCAAGGAAGCGACCCCATGGACCACAGAGAAGAGCCCTAAGAAATTATGAAATTAATAGCCCGACAATTGGTCGAAAGAAAAGCCAAACATTTAGCAGCATTGAACTTTCCCCATCGAGAGTCTGTACGAGTGAAAGTTGAATAGAACATAGAAACGCGACAAATTGTGAACGCGGCAACCTTGTGAATACTTTTCGCGGATCGTTGAACGCTGCGGCCATGAAGCAGGAGAAAACACTCATCATGGCATCCCCGCAACACAAGCAGCAGCGCCACCAGCAGCTCTTGGAACGCTCCTCGTCCACGCCCCGCAGTCCCATCACCAAGGCCTTCGACTTCCTACCATGGGCGCGCAGTCGCAGCAAGGTGAACATGGCCAAGGCCCAGGCGCCACAGGCCGAGCAGCAGGCGGCCAGTGCGGAGAAGCCCTCGGAGGTGCACTACCATCGGAATATCTTCCGCAGCGGCGGCGGCCTCATCCGAGACATTCTCGTGGGCGACAAGCAGCTTAATCTCAAGGATAACAATGCCAGCAAGCCGCCCCAGTCCCCGGTGCCGGCGAATAAAAGGAAGCAGAAGCATCTGTCCCGCAACAAGAGTCTGGACATCCGGGAGCTTATCGGTTGCGTGGAAAGCGAGCTGGCACCCAGGTCGACAGGCGGACAGGTAGGACAGGCAGGACAGCCGACTCGCTTCCTGGACGACACATACATCGACCACAAGCCCAAGCATATTCTTTTCAATGACGACGAGAACACCGTGTACATCATCAAGAAGGAGCAGCCGGTGGCCAAGAGCACCCACAAGCCACAGGCTTCCGCCTCCGTGTCCAATGGAGATGTGCTGAAAGCCCGCCTCAAGTTCAAGCGCCTGCCCAGTGACCGGTACGAAACGGCCTCTCCGGAGGCTCTGCGCCGTGCCCAACAGCTGCACCAGCGCTCTGAGCAGCGCCATCAGTTGCAGCGCCGCAAAAGCCTCAGTGACCAGCAGAGCAACTCCAGCCACAGCAGCGGCGGGGGCGGGGGCGGGGGTGGTGGTGGCGGAGGGAGAGGTGGCGATGGATTTGGCATCGGCAGCAGCAGCATTATGCTGGAAAGACCCAAGACGGACAAGCCGCGCAAGAAACTGTCGTTCCGGGAGCCGATTGTGGCCGGGGACCAGGTCCTGCCGCTCCTAATGGCTGAGCAGCGGCAGGCGAGGCAACGACGACGCAGCTCTCCCCTGGAGCGCACCCGAGGGGGATTGGCAGTAGCAGGAGCTGGAGCAGGAGCAGGAGCAGGAGGAAGCGACTGTGATAATTTATGCAATAATCGCACAAAGGATGCAATTTCCTGCGGCTGTGCGGCAAGCGATCCTGAGGTGGGTTCAATGCGTATACGGGGTGTGTGCGTAATTTGCGTCGCGTTGAGTGGCGTGGCACTGCGCACCACATGTGGTGCCTCCTTGGGAGCCTTAATTGCAGTCAATATAGGAGGTGGGAGATTGGTCGGGGCCTGATGGCTTAATCAAATTATATTAATCTCCTTTTTCGTCTTCTCCTCCCACTCTCTTCCTCTCGTTGCAGTCTCAGGCCATGCGCATCGTTCGCACCGTCGGCCAAGCCTTTGAAGTGTGCCACAAATTTAATCTTCATAAGAATTCCCTGGAACCTAATGACGAGCGCTCCGATATCTCGTCGTCGGAGCTCCTCGATGTAGAACAAATCAGCGAACAGCAGCTGAGCGAAGATGGGGAACGTGGCGGCGGCGACAACGAGACGCCAAAGAAAGGTAAGAAAAATGGGATTGGAAATGGAAATGGAAATTGGAATTGGGGTAAGGAGATGGGGACTGGGGACTGGGGACTGGGGACTACGGCTACGCCGTGTCTGGCTCTGCCAGTGGGTCGTTGCCTGGCCAATAAATAAATGAAAAGCTCTCGCTGCCGGACGACTACGTCCATCGGCTGCTTCCTGGGTCCATGGACGCATACACACTCTGGACTCGCCGGGCGCATTAGTTTCCTATTCATTTTTGCATTCCAATGCAAATTTCTGCTCTTTAATTTCGAATTCAGTTCCGAGCGAAGGGCGCCCGGCATTTGCATTTAAATTGCATTTTTCGGTCAACCGACAAGGAAGGGCGGGTTGAGAGGTAACTGCACGGAAAAAGCTTTAAAAATTAACAACAATTAAAAATGAAAACGGCAATTGGGGAAATAAAACAATTAAAAATGTATTTCTGAAATTCATTTGCTGTTGCCAAAAATTAACGAAATTAAGCGATGATACACCGAAGTTTATTATACACTAATTTGACCAGAAATTCAGTTGATTAACTGGCGGTTTATTGATCTAAGGAATAGTTTATTTTACTTACCGCTTCATAGTGCTTTTCTTTAAATACACAAAATGCATTATATGTAAATCTATAGAAATACGAGTGCACGGGTACGAGTCTATCCAACCAACAGACTGAACAAGCAGTTTACAATACCCCTCGCTGTAAAAGTAAAGAAAATATATAATATGAAAGATGACTGCGCATATAAGCAGAGAAAAATATTCCAAAAAAAAGAGAAGAGAAAAGAAAAGAAAAGCAAAGCAAAGAAAAGTCTGTGGCAGAGATGAGAGCGCTCTCGACATACACTTCAGCGCCGTTAAGCAATTTCCACATATTGCTTCAATTTTCAATAATCTTCATGCGGCTTTCCGCCGTTTCCCCGACCCATCAGTTTTCCCACCCTCCCCTCAGACACTTACACAGACAAGGCGCAGTTTGACGTCATCAACGCGTAGCGACTGCCAAAAGCAAAAAAACAAAAAAACGAAACAGCAGACAACAAAAAATATTAAAACCTCACTAAGAATCCAATTCTTTTTACCATCTTTTGTCTAAAACCATCCGACGACATCATTCGCCAGAAATTCTGAGAAAGATGTATACATAAATAAAACAACAAAATAAAGCTACGAGATTTGGTGGGGGGATATTTTTGAAGGTGGAGGAGCCAGGTTCGAGATGGATTACTATATTTGCAGATACTTTCATCATAGCCATGGCATCAGAGTGGTAGAACTTGAATTTGTTGTCAGGAGACACACCGTAGGCGGGGACACGTGGTGGCGTGTGGGCGTGCCCTAGAGTCGTGTGCCAAAAATTATTTATTAATATCAATACATACATAGTTCATCCCCTTGTAATTTTTGGGTGTCGAAGGGTAGCCAAGCAAGCGACTCGACACCGAAATAATGAATTATGTCAGCTTTTTGTTCGTCTATATGTCTGGCAGATCTCTGATCTCTGGTTAGATTAGCGTCAGTGGGGACAGAGTTGAATGTCCCAAGACTGAGAGACACCTAAAATTATGCTATACATTTTATCCGGGATACATATTCTAAAATCGATAATATTTTATTCTCAATTGGTGCAGAACTACACTAGATATATCGTTACTCCCAGACCCCTAGTATAGGATACAATAAAAATACAACCATTTATTGCTTTTGGCAGGCCAATATCTCGTCTCAATACCTTCCATATTGACATTGGCCAGGCAATTGGCTAGCTAAAATGTATCACAACACACAATATTATATGTATATGGACTATAAGTAAAATGTGAACATTTAGATTACTAATTGCTGTTCCCTGTCACACAGCCATTCATTGCTTTGCAGCTGTTTCTGCGGGCCTCTTTGAGCTGTTCTCTAATTGAGGATGATGTGTGCTCGGTTCCCTCGAAATGGGTCATTCGGGTTGTAAAAATGTTCTAATTTTAGCCAGAGAAACATGTGTTTGTCGAGGCCAAATCCTTTTTCAAGTTCTTTCCAAAAGAAGGGTGCATATTTTGCCCAAATTCAATCAATTAGATGCCAAAAATATTCGCCCGCTGAACAATGTGAAATGCAAAATTAATTTACATGCTGTGAAGGATTTTTACAGCACTTGGAGCCATTCGGTAGCAATTAACACGTGCCCAAGGTGCGAAACCCAAACGGAATCTAAAAATATTCGCCATTGGCCATTGGCCATATAGTATAGTGATATATATGAGATTCCGGCAGGCTCTCCCCGGGTTTTACAGCCAGTAAAGGCGTACGTAGAGTTCGTGGAAGAAATTGCTGAAATATTTGCCAACAAATCAAATTGAAATGGCTGCAAATAAACAGAAACAGAGCGCTTTCGACAGTGGACCTCGTTCGCCCCAGCCTCGGCCCCCTTTCAATCCCCCTTTCCATCCCGACATCATCATCATCATTATCATCTTGGGAGATGATCGCCGGGAGTGTATAGATAATTGTTTCATTATTTATTGAACGGACAGAACATAACCAAAACAGATATTGAACTCTAGAATGCTGTAATTAATGGGAAATTAAGCGCGAAAGTGACCGCGAGAGAGACCACCAGGTGTGGGCCCCATGTGGGGGCGGGTGGGTGTCCAATGACCTTGACAAATTGGAGGACGTCGATGAGGCCGCGTGTACTCGTACACGCTCCAGTTGTTCACTCACTCAATTCGCCAAACCATTTCTGGTTTTCATTTTTATTTTTAGAGCACTTGGCCATAACGCCCGATCTGAACCACACGCAGCCGCAGCGTCCAAGCCACTTGGAGCTGATGCCATCGCAGTCGAGTCTACGCAAATCGACCAGCCTGCTGGTGAGTAACGTAACTAATACGCATCCACAGCCCCATCACCACCCCCATCATATTCCCATAATGCTCTGTGGAATGGCCTGCCAATAATAACCAATCCGCATCCGAATCGTATTGGCCATTACCATATTCCGACCAAAACAATTAAAATGCCATCGGTGATTGGCAAATTTTTATGAGCCGCAATCTCCGGCATAAAATCAGATGGAAATCGAAGTGAAATCTTTTGTACAAATTAATATTTCCAAATTGTTTATCCAAACACAAAACCCACCCAGAAAGAGTAAACAAATTCGATTAAATATCTTTTTGGCTCGACCTGAGAGGGTGTCAAGGCAAGGCTTTGAATGTTTCTAGATTAGTAATTTATATTTCATTCATTGTACATCGTTTTGATCGCAGTGCGATGTAGACGACAAGTTGCCCGGCTCTCCTGCATCGCCGCGTACTGAGATCACACAGCTGAAGGATCAGCTGGAGGCACAGGCCCTGCAGACCCGTCAGGCTCTGGGACAACTGATGCTGGTGCGAGAGCAGCTCATCTCGGAGACGAATGCGCGCATCGAGGCGCAGGTGAGTAGCCACTATAGAGCTGACCCATTGAATGGCCACATTGATTGGAGTATATCTCTTCCACAGGCGCGCACCCAGCAGCTTCTCCAGCAGAATCGGGAGCTCTTGGAGCACCTGGCCTCGCTGGGGGCATACAACGAGCAGCAGAGCGCTGGCCTCACCACAGCCAACATAGGGCTGGCTCCCCAGGTGAGGATATACCCCGACATTTATGTTACTTTAAGCTTTTGAGTTATGCGATCGTAAATTTGCGCTGAAATCCGAGCATATCCTGACCCAGAGAATCCCCTTTTTGCATGATTTTGATTTACTTGGCTGCCATTTGCTGTTTTTTGCACGACTGTTTATAGTTCTAGCTGTTTGTTTGTTCGTTATTCGTTGTTCTCGTTCTCGTTCTGATTTGTTGTAAGTTCATTGAGCTGCCCGGCAGGTCCCCAGTACTTAATTCCATTGTCTGTGACCTTTCACCCACCACAGCAATCGCAGCTGCAGCTGCTGCTCCAGGCCACCAGCAATAACAACAACCTGGCGACCATCAATCAGCAGATTAACAACCTGGGCAACATCAACCAGCAGCTGACTTCTCTTAGCCATCAGCTGAGCGGGCTTAATCAGCAGAGCCAGCATCTTCAGAATCTGCAACAGCAACAGCAGCAGACGCCGCCAACGCCGCAGCAGCAACAACCGCAGCCTCAGCTGACTCCTGCTACGCCGCCCCCAGCCAGTGGAGGCAGTCCGTACCCCTCCATGAGCCAGCTGCAGAGCATAAGCAACCAGCTGCAGCAGCAGCAGCAACAGCAGCAGCAGGATGCCCTGTCCAAGGATCTGTTCCAGGTCAACCAGGAGCTGCTCAATCGGCTGCAGGCCCTCAATCTGAATGCAAATCCAGCCCCGACTCAGCAGACGCCTTCGGCCTCGCCGCACAACTCGTTCTTCTATGCGAATCCGTTGTCCTGTGCACCGGCCACCCCTAACAATAATGTGGCGGCGGGGGGATTCAATTTTCTCACTTCTCCGGCGGCAACGGGCACCTTGACTCCCTCGCAGCTGGGCACCTTGAACCGGAACTCCTTCGCCGGCAGCTCCTCGCTGAACGAGGATCTACGCCTCAGCATCGAGCAGAACCTGAACAGTCTCGAGGAGCAACTGAAGGCGGCCGTCTCAAACGGTAACCTGGCCGGTCTGGCTTGTGGGGGATCCACCAGCACGCGGGACACCAGCCGCAGCTCCTCTACGCTGGACTCTCCCTCGTCCCCGCGTCTACGCAGCAGCAACAACAACATCAGTCCCGGAAGCAGCCAGAGCAATGGAAACGGCAACGGTAACAACAGCGGCAGGGACACGCGCTTCAATACAGTGCAGCTGCGGGTGACGGACGAAGCGGGACACCAGCGAAAGCTGTCGGCCACGCCCAGCTTCATTACGCGCAGCACCAGCGAGAAGGTGCCCAATCGGAGCCAGATGATGAGCCAAGTGCAGAGGACCGCCTGGGCAAGGCACACGACCAAGTGATGGGACGCGGATACACGGATACGCGGATACGTGGATACACGGATACAGGAGATTCAACACGGACCAGGACCTAAGTTAGACGATTAGTGTGAGTTCGATTGTGAGTGGTTTGAGTGGTGTGAGTGCTAGTGAGTGGAAGGACCGAGTGAATGAGTGAAACAGTATTAATTTAGAAGAAAACTTTAGTTTGCATTTTAGGAGCAGGTGGAGCAGGTTGAGCAGGTCCCAGTGTGCCAAAGATCATTTAAAGCAAATTATTTGCACGGCTCAAAGTTAGTCTAGTGATTATAGATTATGTTGCCGATTATTGTTGTTAAGATGAGAGATCAAAGTGTGCCAAAGTCTCAGTTTTTTTTTTTTTTTTCTAACTCTCTAATGTCTAGTCAGTGAAAGTATTTACGAAGCATAATCTAAACCAAATCCCCAACGGCATATCAGCAATGAAAAACCTGGAAAAGTAAACGTTTCAAAGTATTTTCTCTTCCTAAAGTGAAATCTACCTATACACCCCTTACCCTTAAGCTATTGAATCTATTATATATTCTAAATACTTAGTTGAATAATTTTTTTTTTTAATTGTTGTATTTTAATTCCCATTATGCGGCTTTCTCGCATAGGCTTTCCCATACGATATGATGCAAATGGAAAGCGCAATAATAATAATAATAATTTGAAATGCCAATACTCTATGCATTAATTAGTTGCCTAGGCAAATGTTATTTGTTCATTGGAAAATCGAAGAGTAACAGAAACAGAAGCAGCACAAACATCGCATATAATAATAAAAGTCGCATAATTATGTATAAACATTCTGACCAGAGCTCTGCACTTGTTTCGATACCAGTCCGAGTGTATATATTATTGTTAATAATTTAATGTTAACGCTGGGTTGGCTGGCCAATTTCCCTAATGAGTTTTCCAGCAAAAACCGGCAGCACAGCAGAACCGTACTCTTGAGCGCATTACGGAGTGCATAAATTTCCCCTTGATGAATGAAAAACGATGCCCGTCCGGCTCAGTGCGGCGCAAGAAACAAGCAGCAAAAACAAGTGTCACCATTTTTCACTTTCCCTGGTCGCCTCGTTGCTCGTTGCTCGTCTCTCTTCTCTTTTACTCTCGCTGGATTTGCTGCGGGGCAGCAATTTGCGCACATAACTCATTTGCATAAATTTACACACTGACTTTACCCACCACCACCACCCACTCATTTCCACAGCTCTCCTCGACCGCCAAAGTGGCACGATGGTTCCAGCAGCTGCCCTGGCACACCGCCTCCCTGTCACGGCCGGAGAGCGGCTTCGTTTCCGGCGACTCGCGCTCTGAGAAGTATCAGGAGGATCATTTCTACGGCGGCATCGCCAAGGAAACTGATGATTTATGCGACGAGTTCCTGCTTGTGGAGGGCAGCAGCACCATTTGGACAAAGTTGAGCGCCAAAAAGCGCCGTAAATTGCTCGGCATGCGTTTGGGCAAAGTGACAACATTCTGAGCGCCAGGCCAGACAGCGGCCGCCCCTCGAACTGCCGTAATGTGTGCGTTTATTAGCTGTTAAGTGAGTTTTTTTTTTGCATAGCCCTAAGTGTAGGTTTGATAAATATGCTGGCCCTAAGCTCTAGCATACTTAGTTCATATGAAAATCAATAGACTAAATGACCAAATTAACTGAAAACAAAGCAAAACGAACGACAAGCTCATCGGGATGCCATTTACATAGGCAGGAGGTGGACCAAGACCATGGAGGAGGCCCAAAGCAACAGGCATACGAGTAGACATAAGTCAATTAGCGAGCATAGCACTCGAGCTCAATGTGTATTTAAGTATTAACAACAACAAAGTATTTGGCAACACACCACACAGACACACAATCACACACACGTACTCTTGTGGCCAATTCATTAAGCGAACAAGCCACGCACATTAATCATACGCCACGTACGACACACAGGAAAAGGAAGCAGCCAAAAAGCGCAGCATCTTCTACACTGCTTAACTTGACCAGTTTTTTGGGTACGAGAAAAACTGGTTATTAAGTTAAGCAAACACGGCCAAAGTGGCGGGAAAAGAGCGTGCTAAAGCTCCTGCAGCAAGGACAACAAAGATCAAATGTTTGCTATTCATAAATTTGTCCAGCATCAACGTTTTTATGCATAAATCGATTCCATTTTTGCGCTTCGCAGTCCCCTTTTTTGCAGGGGGCTACTCTATAAATTTACTGCGACTGCGGTGGCGTGTGTGGCATACGTGGTGTATAAGCGATTCACTCGAAATTTATGGGGATTCTTTAACTATAAAAACAGGGTTTGGTTGGGAAGGTACTCGTAGATAGGACTCGTAGACATAGTAGTTAGCTAGCTTCAAAGAGGGTGTACAATGCACGAGCCAAATGCAGATTGTACTTGAACTCTGATAAGTTATTGGATAAGTACATACTCGTCCATAAGGATACAGAAAAATGATTAGAAGAATATTTAGATAGGCATTTGTATCTGTGAAATACTGGGAAATATGAGACTGGAGCTATGCCCAGATGCTTATGCATCCAACATAACTTCAGTCGTCATCAAATTCCGTCGGGGTTTTATTGCACTATTTATGTAGATGCCTTGCTTTTATTGTCCAGCAGCGGCTGCAGCAGTAGACGATATTACTCACAATTTTATCACAGTTTCCATTTAGGTACGACATTTATAGATCCAGGAGGAAGATGAAATATACATACATACAAATAATATACGTACGTAAAATGGTTTTAGTTAATTTATGCAAACAATTTTTGAGACTGAAACTGAAATTTGTACTAAGCATAATCCAGGCCAGGAAGCACATACAAAACACATACTCGTATCACACGCATCACAAAAACACATCTAGACATTCGACAAATAACTTTTTGCGACAAAATAGAAAAGTTCATTTTACGAGTATAAGCCACTTAGCATAACGCATAACCAACCCAAGTTAAATTAGTATTTAGTGGATCTGGTTCAGCGCCATAGAATAAAGTGAAAATAATAAAAATTAAATGCAACATGCTGAGTTACTCGTCATCTGATGGTGTCGCTATATTCCTGCCACTGGCTCTGCTGGTGGCACTGCTGCTGCTGCTTCTGCTGACACTTTACAGTTCAATTAATTTAACGCGCTTTGCATGTAATAGAAAAAGCATTGCATATCAGCACGGGGCAGGCAGGACATGGATATGCGAACACGGCACCGCAGGTGGGCTTGGCTGGGACTGGGACTGGGACTGGGGACTGGAACGCATTCCGGGGAAAATGGGAGGGTTCTGGACGGGGATATTGCAAGCACTAAATCGACTGAAAGATACCCAATAAACACAAGATATAAAATATTCATTATTCATTATATACTGCCAGAACAAGTATTCGACTGTTTGTAAACGATTAAATTTGAATTGGAATGAATGGAAACCCGAATAAAAACGAAAGGTTTGAAGGGTTTTTTATTGTGAAATAAACCCTAAATGGATCCACGAATGCCTAACTAAGCTTCAAATATGCCCAATCGGTGTCCAGTACAGGGTATCCAAATTATAAAACAAAGTGAAGGCAGCGCTTCATGCTTCGTGCTTTCATAATTAAGGACATGGGCCAACGCAACGCACTAATGGAAGATACAAAGATACTAGCAAAAACAGTAACAAGAAAATGAAAAGTGAAAATGAAAAATGGAAATTTTCACATGGTGAATGCGACATGCGATATTTTTTTTTGGGCCAGCGCTGTTGACACTTTTTGGGGCTGCGGCAGACATAATTACACAAAGGTAGGCTACGGCGACCCTGAAAGCAGGAAGTTGGCTTTTGTGTCACCCAACACGGGTACGAACATGTGAGCGCTGTGACTGTGACAGCAACAAGAAACAGTTGAGAGTGCCGCGTGTCCTGTCCAGCGTCATCCTCATTGGAGCAGACACACCACACCACACCACAGCACACACTACATCCATGGGGCACACGGGTATGCGAATACGGGGTTCAACACATCCATTGACACTTATCGCGTGGGTGGCGCGTTTAATTCACATTTTATTTCAGTGCCCGTTGGCTGCGCGCGTAATTGTTGCTTCCACGAGCTGTACAGGAGGCCAGGAGGCCATGCCAGGATATAGTCTGTTCGCGTTGGAGCTGCACGGCGGTTGTGTGCGCGGTGAATCGCGCATTCTGTGGGTACTCTCGCCTTCCTGGTTTAGTAGTTGGTCATGCAGAACGAGGCCACCGAGAATGTGGAGCCGCAGCCATCCACAGCCACACCAGTGGCAACGACCGACTTCATGCAGAGCCCACCGGCCGCAGCCCCACGGCGACCCAAGCCCGGAATCCTTCGTCTGGATATCGGCAAGCCGCGACGCTCATCAGGTGGTTCTGTCGATTTCCGCTGCGTGGGCAGCAGTGGCAGCGGCAGTGGCAGCAACATCGCCACTGGCGCCAACAGTGAGGTAAGTGAGCATGATTTACTGCCCGCTGGGGAGTGCTTACGATTTGGCCAGGCCAACGACATGTGCAGCGGCAGTAACCATGGCAATTGGGAAGAGAATAGAGCACCTACATCAGCCATGGCAGCAATGGCAATGGCAGCAACGACAACGGCAGCAAATGCCAATAGCTATAAACGCCAATAGCTCTTAAACGGTGGATGACTCTGGTCAAGCAATGCTGCAAGTCGACCCAAGGTGGCGCTTAAAATCATTTTTTATGTGTCCCACCATTTATTCAGAGGGTGTTAAGCGCGCACTCAAGCCATATCGAACATGGGATGCTCTTGCTCTTTTTTAGAACGTGTTTAATTCAGCAAAGAGGAACGGTATCGACAATCTCATTATGTAGAAACCATTTTGATTGGAATTTTGATTAGAAATGTATGTGCTACAATCTCTGTAGAAAAAGGCATTTGAAACACTGATACCCAAAACAATTCATAGGCTAAAGAAAGAGAGCTATTCATAGGATTATTAATTGGAAAAACCAAAGTTCATTTTTAATAATTTTTTACATTTCTAATGTTATTTCAACATTGCCATTTTGTTGATGGTATGGTCTTATTTTTAGACTTTCGCTTTTTAGTGGTATTAATTCCCAATAGAATAAGCTATTAATCATTAAAATTGTCTAGCAAATTTCAAGCGTACGAATTTTTTAATAGATCAACCTCAAATGTAATTCCACTAAATTCTTATTCTAAGCATTCTTGCCCAACACTCAAGAACTCAATCCCATTTCCACTTCATTGTAAAAAGAACACAACGCACCTGCTATGCGCACCTTTTGCCGCAAGAGTATGCAAAGATTCATTAGGTCAGACATGCGACAAAAGCCAAACGCGGACGGAAACGCGGCGGACGCGGCCACTCCCGACCCAGAGTCGAGTCGAGTCGAGTCCAAACATTTATTTAGTCATAAAGCTGATGGGTAATCTCAACAAGGCAGGCCATTCCAAGTGGGTCAGGTGTGTCTCAGTTTCCGTTTCAAATTCAAATACAGTTGATTCTGATACACAATCACACATTCAGACAATCATACAATCACACACACGGTGAGGACAGAGAAAAGAGCATTCAAAGCACCAAGCCGAGGACATTTCTGTATCTTCACAAAGCGATGTCGAGTGTTGGCGTGAAGGTGACGCCGCTGAGGCACTTCATCACCCGCAGCAGCTACGAAGGAGCTTGGAACAAGGAGGCGCACATGATGGATGGCCTCGGCACCTATCACTATCCGGACGGAAGTGAGTATCGCGGCCGCTTTCTTCACGGCAAGTTCCATGGGTTCGGCCAGTTGCGCCTGGCGCAGCCCTATCGCTTCACCATCAAGGGTGTGTTCAACAACGGGAAACTGGTGAGCATCGAGGACATGTGCTTCCCCGATGGACTCCATGTCCAGGGCCAGTTCACTGCTCGGTTCACTGGAATCGACTTTGACTCCTCGGACTGGGACTATCTGACGCCCAAGGACCGACGCTACCAGTCCGAGCACCTGTACAGTCAGCCGCCCGTGGGTCCGACCGCCTATGTGACGAACAGTCTAAGGTCACGCATCGTGCCCAAGGACTGCTACGATGTGGAGGAGGGAATCTACAATCCGCAGACCGGCTGGCTAACGGATCGCCCACTGCCCTTCACCAGCAGCATCTACGTTGGCTGTCCGAGGGACAAGGAATGGATCCTGCGCCACTGCCGTCATGCTCACACGGATGAAATCCGCGAGCCAATACCGTACTTCTGTCGCCAAATCATCGACAACAATCTACAGACGGAGATGTCCCAGCTCCCCAAGACTATCATCTATGCGCCGAACTTCAGGATGGAACGCAAGCACTACTACCACAAGCTGTGCAAGGAGAAGGGAAAGTCCAAGCCGAAGACAGACCCCTCATCGATGGCGTTTACTTGCAATTATAATCCGAACTCCAAAGCCAGGGCCACGGAGCAGTGTCTCCGTGCCAACAAGGGGGTGGCGGAGAAGCGAGAACTAGAAGATATCAGAGACTTGCCAACGTATCACTTCGATGAGACTGAGACTGAGAACATGACCATAAGGGTGAAGCCCCGTCAGTGGACCAGCAGCTCGGATGACCAGCGCGTGGACTCCGTCGGGCCATCCAGCTGCCAGTCCGACAGCTTTGCCTCAGCGCCGATCCCTCTGGACCCCACGGAGAACTACGACACGGTCAAGGTCATGATGAACAAGAAGACAAACACGGACTATTTGAACGTGGTGCAATCCAACATGCTTCGTCGATCGAGTTATATGGAAATTTCACGTTCTCGCTTTCAGCTGTAAATCGGAAGATATATGGATTTTCTTTAAATATTAAATTTTAGTTGCAATTTAATAGTAGATTCCAGTGTGTTGGCGAATCCAGTTCAATTGACTAGTGATCCGAGAGAACCCTGCTGGCAGTCCCAGGGTACAGCCCTGCGTGGACACAAACAGCGACAGCCCCACCATAGTGGATCCCTGTGCTATGACCAACGGACTGCCAGCGTCGCCAAAGCAGATGGACTTGCCGTTGGTGGTGCGGGTGCACAGGATGCGGTCCGTGATTGTGGCCAGGCCGTAAAAGGGGATGCACTCGGTGTTCGACATGATCTGTAGGTCGACGCACTGCAGCCAGTCGGGTTGCGTTTGTGTTGATGCGCTGCTGCCCCAGCCGCAGGTGGTGGCCCACCTGTTTTCGTACCGATTCGATTGGTTCCGCAGTCCTGGTAGAGCGACCTTCCTAATCCTGTGGCCGAAGCTCACCTTAGGGACGCGCACTAGGGCGAGGTGTTCATTGTCCTGAATGTACTGGGTGCTTCCCACATACATTGCCAAGAGAGCCTGGCTTCGGCGTGTCGCTCCGAAGTAAATGGTTACCCCGGTGCTGCCCGTCAGACAGGCGCGAGCAGTCAGGATCCATGTGTCGCCAATGATAGTGCCACTACACCACTGATTGCTCTGGTGGAAGGCCATGCCCACCACATAGGGAGCCTGTCCATCGTACGCCGGACTTCCGTTGGTGATGATTTGGTCAGGTTTGGGACTGACCGCGTCAGCAGCAGCCACAGCCAAGGCTAACAGAACTACTACCAACAGTGGCATTTTCGACGCTTTGATTCTGCCCAACATGGGATATTAGCTTATATATACATATGGTCAGAGTGTAATTACCATAGGTCTCGTAAGGGAAGAGTTTTGCGCATTAGACATCATTTATTATTTCTTATCTCGGGACTTGGGAGAGACTTGGGAGCTGAGGTTTGAGCTTGCTAACGACTTTAAATGGGAGTAGGCGAAAAATAACTGTATACTCGTAGAAGGGATCCAAACACAAGCATGCCTGGTGCTAATATTCAATAATTCTACAATAACAGTAGCACTACAGCTACAGTCTCAGATTATATTTTAAAGTATTAGTTGCAAAATTGGGTCTTATTCGATGGAGAGATACACTACACTGGTTCGCGATTCAACGGGTGAGGGAAGGTCGATTGATGGCACACGCAACAGTAACTTCCCAACTGGAACCAAATTCTTTGGCCAAATGAATGAGCTGGGTATGCAGGATTATGGTACCTACACGTATCCAGATGGCTCACGCTACGTGGGCTATTTTCGGAACAATCACTTTCACGGAAGTGGCTCCATCCAACTGCCTGCTCCGCTGGGTGTCAGCTTCCAGGTGACTCACCATGACGGCAAGCTTTTGAAGATCGACGAAATGGTCTTTGACGATCAGTTGAAGGTTGATTTTGCTCGAATGAAAGATGGCTCCGTTAGCTTCCACCCCTGGAAGTACTGCTCGTCGGAGGATCGTCGCTTCTTTACAGAGACGAGATCTCCGCTGGCCGCTGTAGGTCCATACAAATATCAGACCCAAGACGGACCCTCTCCGCCGGATCTGCCGCTAAATGTCTTTGACCTGGGCTTCGGCCGGCTGCACCCGCAGGGCTACCTCATGGACCTGAAGCACGGCTCCCCGAGCATCTATGTGGGCTGTCGCAAGGTGCGTCACTGGATCATGGAGAACTGTCGTCACGGCAAGCTGACCAAGTACCATCTCAGAAGCGCGGTTAAGGCAAAGTTTGACCGTCAGATTATGAAAAACAATCTGGAGGTCAACCAAATCTGTCAGAAAACGTCTGGCGGCGTGCCCCCAATACCTATCCCTGGCGTATGTCATCGTTCCAAGAGCCAGCAGAGCTCCGAATCGGCCAAGGAGACGCGCCTACATGCGGCCAGCACTTCGGACAGCTGCAGCTCTAAGATCGATCGTACCGTGAAGAAGGAGCCCCGTCGCAAGTGCAGGAAGACTCCGACGAAGGGCAGACGCGAGAAAAGAAGCGACACGAGCGAAACACACGCGTGCCGCATCAACTAAAGTTGCATCATCATGGGATTAGTTTTCATTCGGTTCTGCTTAAATATATATACATATGTATATTTTGTGTACGGCTGACCTATATTTTGATCCAAGGCGTGGTGGGACAAGTTAGGGCCCAAGATTTATGGCGGAACAACCAAAACTGCAATCGAACATGGAAAGCCACTTAGGCCTACGGATGGAGGATTCCCCCATCCCGATGAGGCGTGGCATTTGGGTCAGCGAGTGTGTGTAGCACTTTTCAAGTTCACCTGCACCTGTCACAGAATCACTCTAGGACTCTCAGACACAGACACAGACACAGAGACAGGCTCAAGAGTCGAGCACACATTCGGGTAATGAACCCATTGGCGGCTGGCATTGTGCTACACGTGCGCAGATTTCTGGGGCGTTCGGAGTCGCCATGGGCTTCGGCGGGAGCGGGAAGCACGCACAGATAAATTTGATGTTAATTAAAGCCTCAGCAAAAACTTCATTTAATTAAAAGGGAACGAAAGTGAAATCAGAGAAAGGCAAGGAAAGCAAAAGCGAAACACAAAACACAGCGGAGAGCGCCAAAACATATTTCAATAGTGGGCGCTCCCATGACACAAAGAAAGGACTGGAAAATCCTATATATATATACATACATATATATATGTATAGTTTTTTGTGTGTTTTGTGTTAGAATTCGCGATTTTCTTTATCAACCCTTGCATGTTTGATTTTCATTTACATGACCAGGCCGTGATGGGAAAGGAGAGGTAACAGAGGACAGGACTGGACAGAACAAGAAGCCAAGAATACAACGTGACTCAATATCAACCCACACACATATTCATAGGAACCAGCAAACACACACACAAGCACACACACATAGACACAGTCCTCGTAGCACTCAGACCTGGCCACCATCTAAATGGACATTCGAAGTTACGCCCGGACACGGCGTTGTTATCACATGCCGCTGGCGATTCTTACACTCATTCGTCTTCGTTCCAACTGGGCGAGGAAGTCAGATACTGCCCCGTACGTGTGTATGTATGTGTCCTGGCTTCCTCTCGATCCCTACCGCAATGTCCTGGTGCCTGTCTATGTAAATTCCTTTACGTTACACAGCGCTCGCTGTGTGCGTTTTGGGCACGTTTTGGCTTTGATAAGTTGGCCATGGGTTGGTCATTGGTGTTAGACTGTGCTGTGGGCCAGGACTCTACTCGACTCCCTGTCTGTTCTTCATTCATATTCATTCATTATTAGAAAAAATTCAGCATTCGCTAGTGTCTGTGTGAGCGAGCATGGGGGCGGAGGTATAGAAGTATTTGTGTTAGTCGTTGTCCTTTTGGATGATGGTCTTTTGCGCCTTGCTGGCCTGGTAAGCGGGCTAAGCCGTTCAGTCTGCGCATAAGGCTCCTCCGACGCGCTACGGCGAAGGACGAACTAACTAACAACTGGGAATTAAATAGTTTTCCTACATCCTGTGATGAAGACTCTTCAGCACACCTCAAAGCGGTGCAAGAGGATACTCAGTTACAACTAAGTTAATCCTTAAAGTGCAATTATTATTAAGCAATTCTGAAGAATTTTGCATAACGAGTATTAAATGTGACAAGTGTGATTAAGATAATTAGTAAGTTTTAAAACTACAACCCAAATTCCCAGAACAACTCTGGTGTCACCTCGCCACATCAATTATCTGTGACCTGGGCCCCGCCATGCGACTTGAATAAAGGGGGCTGGCAAATGCAGAGCAGCGCCGATGAGAAGAGGGAATTCTACAGAGGACAGAGGGGAAAGAGGTGAGTAGTCTTGCCGGAAGGAATTCCCTACATTTCTCATGCAATAATTACAAATACAGAGCCGCTTCGCAGGAGGAAAATAGGTCGTATGAGCTGAACGGTAGGAGAAGATAACTTTTCCACGCCATCTTTGGACTCCATCTCAGCTTTTTCACTACCAAACATATTCTTGCACAGATTTCCAATCACAGAACCAGAGCAGCGACGCCGAGAGCAGCCACCAGGAGCCCCACTTTGTCGTCCAGTCTCCTCCTCCGCCTCCACAACTTTATGAAGATGGCGGCACTGGCGATGTTGACGATGAGGAGGACTACTCAATATCCGTATCGGCAATAATGCAGAGACGTGCCAGTGTACGCGGCTATCGGGGAAAACGTGGCAGTCGCAATTCGCGACGAGCATCTAGTCCCATGGATCACGTGCTGGATAGTGTGGAGCGGCGGCGCTCCAGTGTCTATACGACAAGTTCAGGCAAGGCACTCCAGCAATTGTGGGGAAAAGATTTCGCTTAGTTAACGAGCAGCTGCAGTGGAGATGGCAGATGGAGATGGGCGTCCTCTAGTGGCGGCTAATCAACGTCTGGGGGCCTCTTTTCTGTAATTTCCCAGGCTACGTGCGGCCATTTAGACGGTCACGAGCGTGGAGCCCACTCGGCGTATGTGTAATGTGTAACGTGTGTGTGTGCTTTGCTTTGGTTTACTTCACAGAGGAGGGCACCAATCAGGAGTCCACGCAAGAGCAAATCTTTGAGAACATACGCCTACACAAGGAGGTTATACAGTCGGTGAAGTTACAGCCATGGCCCATCCGCAAGAAGCTCAAGTTGGTGCGGCAGGTGGGTACGGAATGTTGGCTGAGTGGGAGAGAGTGGGAGGGCCTCGAAACTGGGCGCGTTCGTTTTCACGCTGCCTGTCAGGTCGTTGAAAATGTTACGACCTCCTCCTCCCTTCGAACACTCCACTCATCAAATCCTCACAGCAAACTTTTCGATTTCATTCACACCACCTCCTTCTTATCTTTGTTCACGTTCTTTCCATTCCCGGGTTTGCCCCGTCTTGTGGCTTCGCCCTGGCATTTTTAATGATGTTTGGACTTGGATCTGCCCCCCGTGCATGTGTTGACAGGCCAAAACATATGTGGCACGCCACGAGGGCGCGCTTCAGGAGCGCTTCGCCATGTCACGCAGCACCCGAGACTTGTGGGCGAGGTTTAAAATTTTAATGGCGGCAGTAAGTGATTTTCCCCTTATCCCAGTCTTCTCCTCAGCAGCAAATTTTCAGAGCCGGAAACGCCTGCCGAATACAAAATGCATACTGCAGAGTGCAGAATGCGCCCAGCCCCCTAGTAGGGTGAAAATATTTATGTTTACACAATTTATGGGCCACTTTCCGGACTGGATGCCAGAACGGACGGACATTCAATAAATCCCCAGTCGCATAATTCACAGATTTATGCTCGGTTCGGTGGCTGGCATTCACTTGAAAACCAATTAAAATACGAACTTGGGATGCAACTCCTTGGGGACTCCATGCCATGCCCGTAACTCATGTGCTTCCCCTCTATCTCCAACCTGCAGCGCTGGCGACACTGGAAGCGGGAGACGACCAGCTTCCTAACCGTCCTCATACCCTGGGAGCTGCGCATCAAGGAAATCGAATCCCACTTCGGCTCCGGCGTCGCCTCCTACTTTACATTCCTGCGCTGGCTTATGTGGGTCAACATTATGATAGCCATTCCGCTGGTGGCCTTTGTCATCGGACCGGAGGTGGGTAGCCGTAACCAGCGAGAAAGCCCCCATTTATGCATTCATTTGTGTGTCCGTTGTGTTTCTTCTCGCCCAGTATTTCGCCACGAAGCACGGGGAAACGGATCCAAGGAAACGCATGACCGACGCGGAACGAAATGTGGCTGGCAATCTCTTCACATTCTGGGAATTTGAGGGATTCCTCAAATACTCACCTATGTTTTATGGGTAAGTTTCCTCCGCACCTGCCGATAATTACCCTGCTCATCTTCCCTGCTTCCTTTGCCTTCTGTTCTTTGTTTGTCTCTCTTTCCGCAGTTACTACTCGAGCACTTCCGGCATCAGCGTTTCCGGATATAAGCTGCCCTTAGCCTATTTCCTTACCGCCGTCTTGGTTTACATCTACAGCTTTGTGGCCACGCTGAGAAAGTGAGTATGGCTAGGACTATGGGGTCGGGGGCCCTGGGGGTGTCCGTGCAGAAGAGGCACTTCATTAAATCTCTGGTCATCGAAGCCGCAAAAAGCAAACTAAATGTCAGACTGCTCGTTAATTAATTAAACAAAACTGAAGCGCTGATTAAATAATACAAATCTTGGCACGGGCGTGTCTGGCTCACGAAACTTTTGCCCCCCTTAAAAAAAGAGGAAGGAGCAGAAGCCATAAAGGAATTGACCATTATGAGTTACGCACGCACAGGGACACAGACACGTGCAGGGGGCGGTAAGCTGGATGGCAGGACTGTAGGTCTATAGGGCGGAAACGGAAACGAAACGGCAAAACGCCATTTTGACCAGGCGAACGCCATTGGGCTGCTCGCTTTAATGGCTTTGTCGGCATTATGCTGATTTCGTAATTGAACAAAGTAGCAATGTCAACAGTGAGCAGTGAGCGAGCCCAGCCCTGACCTTGCCACTTGTCGTGGCACGTGCTCAGAGTGCGTGAATTATACGTATGTTTAAGCTGCATTAGGATAACTGGAATTGGGATTGGAATAGGGTTCGGGATTGTCAGGATTTGAGCACAAATTATGGCTTGTAAGAGCGGGATATGCAGGAGGAGCGGAAGCAGCAGGACCAGCAGCTGAAACTTTTTCCCTGATTTCTCAATAGAATGGCAGAGAACTCTCGCAACTCGAAACTTTCCTCGAAGGATGATGAGTGCGTCTTCTCGTGGAAGCTCTTCACCGGCTGGGACTTTATGATTGGTAAGTGGCCGACCACGCAGCTGAGCTGTCGTTATAGAAACTTTTGCAACTCTTGCAACTCTTGCAACTCTCACAGGACACGCGGAGACGGCGCATAATCGCATTGCATCCGTGGTTGTCGGCTTCAAGGAGGCCTTGCTGGAGGAGGCCGAAAAGAAGAAAGATAATCGCAAGTAAGTCCCCGCCAAGTTTAAGCTATTCGCGTGCCATAATCAATGGGGTAATGCCCTTTCAGCTGGCGGGTAATCCTCCAAAGAATACTGGTCAATATATTGGTAATGGGTCTGCTGGGTCTGTCGGGTGCCACGGTGGTGCTGCTTGTCAATCAGTAAG